TACTTGTTTCTTATTGGCTAGCTCTGCCTTAATTATTAACCCATTTCTGTTGATCTATGTATTTCTCTTACCGGGGAGCCAGCGGCATACTGTTTTCTTCAGACTCTCCATCTTGACTCCTCCTTCCTACTTCCTATTTCCTCCTTATCTCCTAGCCCCTCCTATCTTCCTTTCCTATTGGCCAACAGTGCTTTATTCATTAACCAGTATGAGAAACATATTTACAGAAGGACATCTCCCATCACCTGTTCCTATGAATTGGCCTTTGAGGTTGAGTTCAATAATCAATAGTTAACGGTGAACTCTGTAGAACCCTTAAACATCGCATTCAAAAGGCTGCCATGTCAGTGAGTATATCAGGGTATGCCAGAACATTGTCTCAGAAGTGTTACTTGTGTTTATTTCCGAGGTTTGTCCTTTCTAGAAAGGGTGCAGCTGAAGCCACGCCACCCTGAATGTGCCCTTTCTTGCTCAACAAAACAGATCTAACGCAGACGCTTTCTGGAGTTCTTCCAGCTGTTTGAGTGAATTATCAGATACTGGAAGAGTGCCTCATGGAGAAACATGGTCGGCAGAAACTTGGGTCACATGGAGACCCCAGTTGTGGCTGATGTCTGCGGTGGGAGCCGTCTTTTTTTTTTTTTTTTTTTTTTTTTGGAGACTTCAGCTCCTGGAATGAGGCGCTACTTCCAGGTAGCCAATTTCAGAGTTGAATTGAGTTTCTGGACACCCAGTGGTGTTGGAGAATTGGTTAAGAAAACAACACGCATTTGATGTCAGGGAAAAAACAATTCTGTGGCAGAAAAAAAAAAAACCCGTGAGATTGCTAACTTTTCTGTGGTGAGAAACAGAACAAGCTTCCGCATCACTTTTCCTGGCATGAACAAATCCGTTTACTCCCGGACAGGGCACCCTAGTGACAGACAACACACCATTCTATCCAAGTCTGGCTTGAGGACCCTTCCTGGGCCATGGGTGAGAGGTCACTTACAGGAGCACAGGTGATCCCCAAACAGATGCATCATTGCGAAGTCTAACCCCAGCATGGAAGGTGACCGCCCAGAAATTGCGTAGATGGTGTACCTCTTCCACCGACCTTCTGTGTCCTGTAGACAAACACCAAGGCCTTCCGTGGCCGGCCAGGAGTACAGAAAATAACTGTGGCTGACATGTATGGTAAAGCTCTCTGCTGAGGGTCTCCTGAGTGTGGGTAATCACACTCGAATTTCAAGATAGCTGTGGCCATGTCATGCCCAGAAGGCCGAGTTCTCTGAGCATTGGCACTTGCCCATGCCAATGATGAGAAGAAGATGGTAGACTTAGAGGTAGTAGTGAGCTGGTGTAGCCCCAGTAGATGGGGCTGGGCTCACAACTTCTCTATGCAGACTTTGAGAGTGGTTTCAACGTTTGAGCCATGTAAGGGACTTTACATCTGCCTAGAATCAACATCAGCCTTAATCCCTCACGGTCTCCTGCACTAGCAAATTACTTACTTCACAGAAGCAGCCAGCACTGGCTGCGCAAGAGATCTTGAGTGTTTGCCCATGGGAGAGCCTCCCTCCCAGCGTCCCAGAAATTATAGGACCATGGCGGCCCATAGATCATGGGGGCATAGCCAGGGGCTATTGATAAGATAGCACATACTTTGAATAGAAAAGAGACTCAGTAAGAGTTCCTACCACACACAGGACTCGAGAAGACCTTGGGCTCGAAGAGAATGGTGCTATTAGGAGGTGTGGCTTTTCTGGAGGAAGTATGTCAAAGGGGGCAGCCTTTCTTGGGGCAGCCAAGCTCAGGTACTCTCTCTGCCTGCTGCCTGCAGGTTGGGATGTAGAACTCTTAACTACTCTCCAGCACCATGCCCTGCTTCCTGCCATGATGATAACAGACAAAACTTCTGAGCTGTAAGCCAGCCCCAATGAAATGTTTTCTTCTAAGAGTTGCCATGCTCTCTCTTCATAGCAATAGAAACACTAACTAAGGCAGCAGAGTCAGGTGAGCCCCTAGGATTCACTGGCCAGCCACCCTAGCCTAATTATGGACCAGCAAGAGACCCCATCTGGAAAAAAGGGGGGTGGGGAGAGAGAGATTCATCCTGAGGAACAACACCATGGTCAACCTCTACCTCTACATGTTTATAAACTCACGGATGTGCCTCTACATGCCTATGAACACACGGGATGTGCACACACACACACACACACACACACACACACACACACACACATGAATGTGCTCATTTAAAGGGGAGGTGGAAGGGGGTGCCTTGTTGTGTGTGTGTGTGGGGAGTTAAAGACCTAAAGCTTTGATTGGACATCATGAGAAAATTGAACTAGGCAGCATAAGAACTACATCCAATTTGGAAACAAGGGACCAGGAGCTACAGTTGTGTGAGATGAATCCTGCTCAGAAGCTTGTAGCCAGACCTGCTGCCCAGACTCAAGGCCAGCGGCGCAGGCCTTCAGAAGAGTGCCAACTGGTTTAGCTCTCTGCCGGTGGCCATCTTGAAATCCTTCACCCTCATGAACTGGGGCTCTGTGGTTTCTGCGGCCAGACCCGCTCCACCTTCTTATGAATGGTTCCTCTGCCACTCTTCCCAGATATCAGAAAAGCCTGGCTATTTAGGACCAGGCTGTCCCCTCCCAGGAAGCCCCCAGACCATCTGGCCCATCTGCTCTTGTGCCCTGCAGCCTCTCCAGGGGCGGAAGGATGCCAGGTCCCATCAGCACCCCTCAGGGACACCACGGTCCCTGCTGTGTACTACTGCACATCCTGCTGAATAAATTAGTGCTCAGCCCTCTCAATTCATCAGAGTCAAAACTCTCTAAAATGAGTTTAATTAAAACAAGAGGCTCTTGGGTTTTCTCAGATTAGATAGCGATCGGCCCACTGTGAACACTGGGTTTCTTGGTGTGGATGTGGGGCGGGGGACTCCGTGTCTTTGTCTTGGTCCAGTTCTCTCCATCTGATGGTCTCTAAGAGTACTGGCTGTGTTCAAAAGTGGGGTAGAGAGACAGGGAAGAGAGTCCTTGCACCCAGAGTCCTCTTAGAAAGTTTATTAGCACGGATCATACAAAGCGATAGCTTTTATAACGGCATTTGCGTCCAGGCACTTTAACAATATTCTTCCCTCTGGCCTCCCATGCCGTCCCCCACTCTTTTTGTTAAACAGCCTCATATTTTTTTCCTTTTATGTCCTAAGTGGTCTTGCTATTGCAATCACTTCTGGAGATAGATCTCAGATGCTGAGAGCATCAGGCCTGAGAGCGTCTCCCTGCGGAGGTACAGTGTACTGAGGGAAGTGTGGGGTGTCAGGGGAAAGTGTGGAGCGATGGCGGAAAGGTTGCGGTGCCGGGGGAAGGTGTAGGGCGTGTGGAGAAGCTGTGAGGTGTCAAGGGAAGGACAGGGGTGCCAGGGAAGACGCCAACTTCCTCCAAACCTTCTTCCCAGATGCCTTGGTGTTTATATCCCAGTACCCCACCCCCATCTCACTGTATATGTTCCCAAACTCTGGCTCCCTCCTGCCCTCTCCAGAGGCCTATGGAGAGTGGCTATGTAACTGTGTATACAAGGAAAAGCCCACAAACCAGAGCAAGCTTTCAGGGTTTTTTATTATGCGTTTGACATGTCTTCTGAGTGTTTTCACAGTGAGAGGATTTGTCTTTGTGATACAGTCTGGCCACTGTGCCACACGCTCTAGCTTGAAGGAATATGAGTTCAAATCCTGAACACAATTTAAAATCTGTCTGTCTGTCTGTCTGCAGTGTCTTCTCTGTTAATAGAGCCCATAAAGGAGTCTAGTAGAAAACAGTTCCCCAATAAATAATGACTTCTTGAAACTGTACAACCCCCTAGCCAACCATCACTCTTACCATCCCCCGCCCAATAGTCAGGCGTTCACACCTGTGATAACTTAGGAGGCGCTCCTATGAAGTTCAACATCTGGTTAAGACCCCACTTCACACACCAGCTAAAGTATCTCCACATGGTGCCCTTGGCACACGCCCAAAGACAGGTTCTCATTGCTGTGGGGGCTGCTGGGGAGGCGGGCAGACTCCCCAGCTGGGCCAGCATAACCGAATTTACATGGAAACTCACAGTCTGCCCCCCAACACACACACACATACACACACTCACTCACCATGAACACAGCAGATGGAGTTCAGCTAAAAGATTTTGAACCATCAGGAGTTACAATTCCCAGTTGTTGGCAATTATATAGATAAACAGGAATTTACATAATATACAAAGGGTTTGTGCTTTCAGCTTATTTTGAAGCCACTCCCTAAAGATGCACATTTATTCATGAAAGCAGATACCCAGCCTAGTGGCCTTGGGCTGGAATCTGGCCAGGCGCGGGAACTCTGACACCCACCGAGGCCTTCTGCTGAACCCACAGCTCTTTGCTGAGTTCCCCAGAGTTAAAACCACCAAGAATGGGATTCGGCTTTTTTTTTTTTTTTTTTTGTCTTACGGATGTCAAGGTTTCTTGTCTTCCTTTTCTTCCTGTGTTTAGATCTGGTCTTCTAATGAGTACCAAGCCCAGCTGGATGTTTCTAAGTCCTATGAACTGAAGATTCACAGACTATAGCATAGCTAGGACCCAGGACTCAGGCAGACAGACGCCTTGCAGCCTTGAACTGGCACAGGCCTGGCAGGCTGCAGAAGCAGGGCTGCTCCTGACACATGGTGTCCTGCATCTTCTGCGAGATGGAGGAGTGTTTACTTCTGTAAAGACCCAGCCCGGTGTCCACTTACTCTCCAAGAGGAGTCATGTCAAAAGCCAGTAAGTCTCTTTCTGACTTAACATACCTCCCAAACAGTTTCCTTGTGAAACTGGAGCCTCAGGCATCTGGCCCCCAGGGCACATCTGGGATCATTTTTCCCATTAGGGAAGCTGGGGTCCTTTGGACTTGGACATTTTTGGGGTGGGGTATACAGGCAAGTGGAGGCTGTCTGGATGGGTCTTTCTTTCTCCCCCCCCAGGCCAATTCTCCCCCTGTCCCCAAAGAGGAAATCTGAACTGAGTAAGCACAATAGCTCCTTCCTGAAAGGCAGGTTGGCAGGCAGGCAGAGCGAGGGTGAAGTCTGCGGTGGGAAGCAGGAAGCATTGGTAGCGGTCTGTTATGGCCAGCAGGCTTTTTCTGTCCTTGACTTCACCCTATTTCAAGGAAAGAGGACAAAAGACAAAAAGAAGGATGTCATGACAGCGAGCCAGCTCTTTCAACGTGAAGAGATGATTTCTGGCCTCACTTCTAGCTGTCTCCTGCCTGGAAGTTTCCCTTACTGGTGCCCCGTGATTTCAGAGGGCTCTCGAGTCCAAAGGTGTGAGAAGAGTAATTGCAGCAGGTGTGACCACCCCACCGAGAGGCCTTCAGCTGGTTCACTCTTTGGCGAGACCCTGGCCATTACTAACTCACGTCTTACAGGGAAGCAGGGAGGGAGGGGAACTCGCTGAATTAGAAGGTTCCGGAAAAGCTACCTTGATGGGCTTCCATCTCAAGCTGGTGAGATGGCCCCTATCTACCCAGTCACAAACCACAGAACTTTCTACCCTGTTTCCTTTGCTTTCCTCAGTTTATCTTGTATGTATGTGTCTCCTTGTCTGCTGCCGCCATCGTCTCGAATAGAGAGGACCCAGAACGGAGCAGGTGCCTAACAGATCTTGGCCGAATGAATGCATGAGTAAATTAACAAATGATACAATGCACAGATGGCTTTAATCACGCCGTGCTCTCACTAACAGGAGTCCGGTTAGGGGTAGAAAAAGGAAGAAAGAGAGGAGAGGAGGCTGAGTGGGGACCAGCTGGGGTCTGGCACACGCTCTCTGAGGACCTGCAGGATCCTCGGCCTCTCCACTCCCTTCCATTTTCTCTAGACTACTGGAAACCATCTCATGGGTTTGGGAAACTTTAATCTTCCCTTGATCATTCCCTGTAGGAACTGAAGCCCCCTCCAGGCTACTATGCGAATATAAATTACCATCGCATTGCACATGTGCAGCTGAACCGTTATTAGTAATGATTTCTGATTGATAGAGTGTCCAGTAAGCCCAGCTTGGTTTCGGGAAGCCCTCAGTATTGCTCATACCAAAAATTAACTAAAAAAAAAAAAAATCAAACCAATATGCACACAATGCACACACACACACACACACACACACACACACTAACAAAATGGGCTGGAAGTGGTGGGGCAGGGGTTCACTACCCATGTGCTCACGCACTTCTACTGAGGACAGATGATTTATCAGGGACCACTTGGTTACAGAAGCAGAAGCCAGGGAGGGTTGACTGTGTTAGCCCAGAGAGCTGTGAGCCGAGCTGGATGTCACCACCCTGGGACACCGTGCGGGTGGCTCCAAAAACACAGAGGGTTTATTTAAGACCGGAGAGGTGACAGTAACCATATACAACAGAGCTGACAGACCAGAAGGCGCCAGTGTCTATTGGTGGGGACCCTTGTGAGTTCCACGGGCCACTTATTGAGACCAGATGCTGCCTCTCCACCTGCCCTGTGCCCCTGAATGAACGTACCCCATCTTCACCTCTCATGTGGGCCTCTGGTCTCCCCTCTCTTCTGCAGCCGGCCTTCCTGCTCCCCGGGAATCACTGTGGGGACACAGCAGTTTGCAGGAATTAGCATTTCCATGTGGCTGGTTTCGGGGAGACTTCCTCATCCCACTGTAGGACCAAAGGCTCAGTGGGTGGACATCGGAGTGCCACACCCCTTGGTTCTGCACTGGAGCCACAAAAGCCCAGTTGGGAGGGCAGAGGTGCAGCAAACACCGGGTTTCCCGGTGGCAGAGCCCAGTCCTGAGCACACAGCACCTGCTTTGCTCTGGGTCACCCAACTCAGAGACATCACTAAGCTCACAAAGGAGGCCACGAGTCCCATCCACAACACCATGCAGCCCTTCCTCCAGGCTGGTGATGGGCAACTCTGCCTGCCTGGCTTGATGAATCTCTGCTTTCCGCTATCTAGGGAACAGTGGTCCAGGTGGCCGCCTCCAGGCAAGTACGGTGGCTTCTCACCCAAAATGGATCTATGTGCTTCTCTGTGCAGCTGAGAGGACCACGCAGTCTCAAACTGAGAGAGGAGATCCAGGGGCCACAAAGAAACCAAATGGGTACCCCAGGTCAAGTGGTTCTTTCTGAGAGGTGGCGAGACTATAAACTCCTGATTGCTCTTGGCAAAGAAACTAAAAATTCTCATGGAGATGGGTGAGGTCTTTACTCTTTCAATGCTTCCGACTCACCTGGGTTTGTCTACAGAGCTACCGGCTGCAGAAGCTGTGGCCTCTGTTCTTCTGAAAGGCAAGGGCCGTTGAGGACCTGGCCAAGCCACTCTTCACCACAATGGTGAGTCCCTGGGTTTAGCTTTGCCCATCAGTGACTTGTACCTAGAGATGAGTGGGACTAGAAGGTGTGTCCTACCTGTTGACATCTGTGGCGTGTGCACAGAAGTGTTCACAGGCTTTGTCATCAGTCCCCATACAAGCACAGCGCAAGCGTGTCCGTGGAGAAGGCTGGGAGTTTTCTGGAAATGGCCCCGAGGACCTCTTCCCCCGAAGGCTTCCTCTGAAGTTGGACAGTCCATAGGGCACAATCTGTCTGCAGAGCATGGAGAAACATGAGGGGAACCTGTTCAGACACTGCAGGGCAAAGCGCCCTACTACAGCATGCTAGCTGGGGACTGTCTGCAATGAGCCTGGCATCCAAATGGTCTGCAGAGACGGAAAGGCACACAGGAGGTGACTGCCCAAGGAACCACACATAGCTGCCACAAGCCTATGCACTCAGGGGCACCGCCGTGCACCACGGTTCATGAAGCCAGGCTACCAGCCCCTTGGGGTACACTGTTGGGCTTTCCTCTTCTCCACATCAAACCACACAGCCTCCTCCTGCAGAGCAGGTCCTAAGACCTTTAGCCCATCCCCAGCCTGTCTCAGTTAAAATTCCTTTCAATCATGAGGACCTGAGTTAAACTCAAACACAAAGAAGTGTGGTGTGTTGACATGTACTTATCCCAGTGCTAGAGAGTCAGGACATGAGGATCCTGGGGATCGGTAGCTATCTAGTCTAACTGTTAAGGCCAGTAGAAGAGCCTGTGTCCCTCAGTAAGGTTCTTGAGAGTGACATCTGAGGCTGACATTGGTCTCCTCATGCATACACACACACACACACACACACACACACACACACACCACTGAACTTTCCTGTCAGAGACCTGTCTTTCATTTACCTAATTCTCCTGACATGGAAATCTGACTTGACCCATGTCATGTGCTGGTCCTTGTCTGGGGCCTGACTTGGTGTAAGGCCTTCCATATCTGAGGCTGTCCTTGGCAACTTTAGTGCCAACTGAACTACAGAGCAGACCTCACAGCTGGCACTGGGAAAAATGGGGTAGATGCAATTACAGTTATTAGAGACCCACCCTCGCCCCCCGGATTCAGCTTCCTCCAAGAGACAAACACCAGCGGGTATCCTCAGTGCTCTCCGGGAGCTGTCGCCAGCACCTCAGTGGGGCGGCTGAGAAAGGAATTCATTCAGCATGGGAAGGTCTTATTGTGCAGCAAAAACTGTCTGAAATGATGGACCATTTCTGGTTATGGTAGGGATTGAGAGGAGTTCATCTAGAGCAATAAGTGTTTAAGTCTGGTTTTAAGAGCAAGCACAGCCCAACCATGGCTCATTCTCCAAAGAGGAAAGACTTATAGAGTTGAGTGAGAAGTTAAAACCACATGCTTAATTCATTAATGTAACTGAACATGATCTGGGGGACAAATTACTAAGAGCTTGAGGAAACTTCTGGGGCCAAGGGACCTTTTCCAGTAAGTCCGGACCGTCTTGTTCATCCTTGCTTCTTTGAGTCCCACAGAGTATCACCAATTATCTACCTCAAAGGGTGGCCTCGAATCCTCTCTGTGTTTTCAAAATAAAATCAAATTGAATTTCTTTTCCTTAGAAGCGCAAGGCTATGAAGTGTTTGGGGGGTTGTTGAGAGTCAGGCAGGGTGGCCTGTGGGGACCAGATGCTCGAAAGTCAGCCGTTTCCCTTGCTGGCTTGGAGACCTAAGAGTATCCACCCACCCCATGCCCCATCTTTCTTTTGCCCCAACTTCTTCCTACCAAGTACCCCAAGGGGCAGCAGAGCGAGGTTCCCTGCCAACCCAGGTAGGCCCATCTGCTGAGCAAAGTGGAAGGGAGAAGGCAGGTCCTATTGGGACCTTGGTCTTTTCTCGGGACCAGGAGGTGGAGCGAGGGGAGGATAATGCAGCCTTTGTTGTGGGTCCAGATTTGGCTGCAGGTATAGTTTCCAGTACCAGGGTTACAGTAAATCTCCAAGTGTTGACGTGAAAGCTAGTCCTCTGTTTCTTGGTGGAAATTACACATGAGGAACAGCGATGAACTCATGTCTCCATCAACATCAAGGTCTGCAATTTCCTCAGCTGGCCATACATCGGTGGGTGTACAGCCACTAGGCTGAAGCAAAATGCTCTGTCCAATGGGTTTTAAAAGTAAGGAAATAAGACGGCTGGGTGTTTGTTAATAGAGCTGTGTTAGCACCTCCCCAGCAGCCTCAAGAAACACCATGTACAAACGCCCCCGACAGCTTCAAAGGGTGTTTACAGAGCTGAGCCCCCTTCCTAGCGGATGGAAAGCTCTTAGGAGCTCCTTGGCATGTCCTGCTACAGTGAACATGTACAGGGTTTGGAGCAAGAGTTCAACATGGACTCCAGGTCCTGGAGACCGACTCCAGGTCTAATATATTAAAAGGTCATTGGCTATTTTGGTAAGAGTCCTGTCCCTCACCCTGGAAAAGTGACATTCATGATAACCTCAGAGCATCAGGCTTGCATTAGGGACCCAGGTATTCCTTGGAGTTCTCTGATGAAACATGGTGACCAAAACAATGCTTGGCAACTTCTCCTCCACCCTGCTTCATCCCACACCGAGGCAGCCCCTCCATTCCCATGTTATATCCCAAAATCTATGTGCTCACACCCTACAAGCACCTATGCTACCAGTTGAGGAATACATGCCTGGGCCCATTCGTGTCCTTAAGTGTCAGATTCTAGAAAATAGTTACACAAGCATGCTGTAGAAGGGCCACAGGCTTGGGGACACTCAGGTAGGAGGATCCCAGGACCCAGAATGCCAGGAACGCTGTCAAGGAAAGGTGCCTTTTAGTTTCAGGGTCTCCTTGCAATGGATGGGAGATGCATGGGCAAAGGAGGGCCAGCAGGGGGCCTCTAAATCAGATCCAGCTCAGGGTGTTTCCTGCCCAGGTCTGACTGGGGAATACCTCTCCTCAAGAGCAAGTAGCAGAGCTGGGCATGAGGGCTCACACCTGTACCCCAGCACTCAGGAGGTGGGGATGGGCAGACAGTCAAGGCTAATCTTGATTATATGACAAGTTTGAGGCCAGCTTGGGCTATAAGACTGTCTGAAAAAAATCACAGTCAACAGAGAAGAGTGGAGAGCTGGTCTTTCACTGCCTCTGAAGCAGCCATGGACTCAATGCAAAGCAGAATAAGAACTGGGGCAGGAGGACCACTTCCAGTTAGACTTTAGCCTCAACTACAGACTAGAGTGAGCTACAGAATGAGATCTTGTCTCGAGAAAACAACAGCCACAATAAAACATGGAAGGAAGGAAGGGAATAAGGAAGGAGAGAGGGAGGGAGAGAGGGAGGGAGGGAGGAGTGGAAGAGAGGGAGGGAGGAACAGAGGAAGGGTAGGAGAGATGGAGGGAGGGAGAGAGGGAAGGAAGGAAAAAAAATCATTGATTGAGGATTTGGTTGCTAATTGTGCGGTAATCCCAGCTTGACAAGACCAGATTCTTTGCAGCTTAATGGAGCTCAGTCACTACAAAGGAACTTCATGGGCTCTTAAGTATTCTCCATGGAGCTACGGTTATTTTAAGTGTGAATTATAGATGCACCCATGCCTACAAGAATTCACATGCCACTGGGAGATGAAAATTGATACAAGAGAACCACCAAGCCTGTATGTTCAAGCACAGAAGTGGTACAGAGTGCAGAGATTACCTAGTGATTTCATCATTAAGTTGTAAAGCGTTTACATGACCGGCACTCCACCCTCTCAGTATACAAAAGACTGTCAGGCATTTGCTGGAATGAGATGCTCCATGAGAAAACACTTAGCAAAGAGTTAGCAATGGATGAAAATTAGACCCTTTGATTATTTAATTGGTTTGAGAAGTTGTGTTTCATCAGTAGAAAAATTCCACTCATCAGGCCTGCTGTGCTTGTGATGTGTGACTAAGCAATAAAGGAACCAGAAAACCACAGCAAGGCCATTCCCTGCCCTCCCTCACTCTGGCAGGCAGGCCACACACCACCCACCGCCCACCTCGTAAGAGTCATTTGTGTCACTGCCCTTTGTCACAATCCCCTGAATGAGCAACATGAAATACTTAATGGTAGAACCTTGAAAATGGAATTAAATTGGCTGAGAACCTTGGACCAGTATACTCAACCCAACTGTGACAGCCTACAGTTGAGCAGTAAGGTTTGATAATACAATTCCTCGTAGAGACAGGCAGCCCTTCCATCTGTTGATGTCAGTTACACCACAGAGGCCCACACAAGAGAAGCAGATGAAGGGATGGATAAACAAAACATTCTCCATCATACCTACATATGCAGTGTCTAGTGCTCCGTGTGTTTGTGTAATAAATTATCTCTCAACTTATGTACTGAGAACACTCATTATTTAATCAGCGATGAAGATGCCAGGATCTTATTTATCACAGTGTCTTTATTTTTCAAGTTTCCCCAAATGTCATATATAAATGTTACTAAATATTAAACTCCCAAATCGCCCGCATTCAGGCTTCATCTGCAGTCCCACATCGAACACCCTTCATTTATCTTGCGTTGAGAAGTCTTCCAACAAGGAAAATGACTTTAGGAAGAAAACCAAGACAAAACAAGAAAGACTTCCTGGTCCTGGGGCTTTCCCCCCTAGAGAAACGAGTGTGTTCCATCTTTCTAACTGTGAAGTTGGCCGTGTGCACAGCGTGTAGAGGGTGGGTACAGATGTGACAAGGGGTCAGCTGGGAATCAGCAGATGGTATCACCTGCTGAGTTTGATTAAACTGAAAGAAAAATCGCTTCTCATCCCCCGCTGAATGGCATTTAGCGATCCTTGCTGGAGAGGGGTCTGGACAACCAAGGTAGAAAAGACGGGAGGCCCTGTGCACGAAGCCATGTTCAGGTTAGCGGGCCGGCTTCCACCGCCCAAATGTTTGTCGTTCAGCTTCTCTCCCTGGCTGCAAGAAAGTACCCCACTCAACCCCAGGCTTCAGACGCTTGCAGTGGTCCTGTGCCTGCCACTCTCTGCTCACTGTTGCAGCTATCGCCATAGTGAGCATCTTCGTTTACAGCTCCCGAGCTAGTGGCTTCTCTCAAAATGCGAAGCCAGCCAGGCAGGGGAAAACACTATCAAAGTTAGTACCTATTATTTTTTATATAAATATAGTTGTTGGTTTAAGTTAGAAAGAAGGAAGGAAGGAAAGAAGGAAGGAAGGAAGGAAGGAAGGAAGGAAGGAAGGAAGGAAGGAAACTCAAGTTCCGGTTGAATG